TAGTGCCCAACTCACACTTTGTCAGTTTGAATAGGTGCCAAACCCCCAATCAAAATTTGTCATGGGGGGAGTCAACAGTGCCCCATCTTTGGTTGTCGGTGGGAAGGGGAATAGTGCCCCATCAATAACCCAGTGGGATTTTAGTCCCCACTATAACCCCCCATCAAAATACCAATATATTGCCCCCAATACCCCCTGTCTATCTCACCCAGGTTATAGGGGAACTAGTCCCCATAAAACAACATCAGTGGGAGGAATAGTGCCCCATCATTGGTGTGTCAGTGGGGGAATTTCCCACAAAATGCCCCACCATCCTAACCAAAAAATAATACCTGGGAAACCAAACTACCCACCACATCCAAAAAAATTACAGTGGAGTCAAAATAGTCCCCTCACCTAAATGTCATGGGAAATAGTGTCCCCACAAATTGGTTTTATGTCAGTACCAAAAAAATAAAATTATAGTGCACACTTCATATGTGGTTCAGTGGGAGGTCCAGTGCCCCATCATTGGTGTCATGGTGTAAAAATAACATCAAACAGTGCCCCATACACAAAACTACCCTTTGTCATGGGGAGGAATAGTACCCCATCATTGGTGTTCCTTTATCCCCCTAAGCCCCATCACAACTGGTGTCAGTGGGAGGGAATAGTGGCCCCATCACTTGGTTTGGTCCTGTATTTGTGGGAGGGGTAGTTTTGTGGTTTTGGGTTAGTTTTTTGGGAAATAATTTGATAAAAACATCATTGGTGTCAGTGGGTGGAAATAAGTTTTTTCCACATACTGGTTCCCCCTCTAACAATCCCAAAACCCCCATTGTTTTGTAGGTTTAAACCAAAAATCCTATCACTTTGTGTGTGTTGTGGGTTAAAGGGAAATTTACTTGGGGTTGGTTGTTCCCCCCTCACTGGTTTATTTTTTCCCTACTACAACAACCCCCCCCACCCACCACCCCCCCCCCCCCCCCCCCCCCCCCCCCACCCCCCCCCCCCCCCACCCAAACCCACCCCATCACCCCCACCCCCCCCACCCCCCCCCCCCCTCCAATATCCCCCCCCCCCCCCAACCCCCCCCCCCCCCCAACCCCCCCCCCCCCCCCCCCCCACCCCCACCCCCCACCCCCCCCCCCCTAAAATGTCCCCCCCCCAAACCCCCCCACCCAATTAAAAAACCCCCCCCAACACCCCCCTATCTACCCCCCCCCCCCCATTATACCACTAAAACCCCCCCCCAATACCCCCCCCCCCCCCCTCCCAACCACCCCCCACCTGACCAACCCCCAACCCCCCCCAACCCCACAAAAACCCCCCCCCCCCCCCACCCCCCCTAAACAAACCCCCCCCCATCAAAACCCCCCACCCCCCCCCATTAAAAAAATCCCCATTTACAAATTTAAAAATTTTAATGACCCCCCCCAAAAACTTCTCCCCCCCATAGTGTTCTTCCATCATAAACCCCTAAACATCCCCCCCCCACTCCTTAATATCACCCCCCCCAAAAAACCATTACCCCCCCCCACCCCCCCCCCCCCCACCCCACCTACCCCCCCCCCCCCCCCCCCAACCCCCACCCCCCCCCCCCCCCCCCACCCCCCCCCCCCCCCATCCCCCCCCCAAACAACAACCCCCCCCCCCAGTGTCCCCATCACCCCCAACCCCCAACCCCCCCAAAAAAACCCCCAATTCCTTCCCCCCCCATCCCCACCAATTTCCCCCCAATAAACACCAACAATCCAAACCACCACAAAACAGTGGGAAAACCCCCCATCATTCCCCCCCCCCATAATTAAATAATAGTGGGCCCCCCAACCCCACTTCACACCCTCAACAGTTCCCCATACAATTGTCCCCCCCCCCCCCAGGGAATTTGCCCCCATCAATAATTGAGGTATATTTGATGGAAATAGCCCCCCCCAAAATTATTTCAACCCCAATCCTACCCTCCCACCCCCCCCTCCCAATCCCTCCCCCCCACCCCCCCCAACCCCAATTATTGGTTACACCCCCCCCCCCCCCCCCAATATCCCCCCCCCCCCCCCCCCCCTTTTTTTTTACCCCCCCCCCCACAAAATCCCAACCCCCCCCCAATAACCCCATCCCATTACCCCCAAACCCCCCAAATAGTGCCCATTCACCCACCAAAATGGGGGGAATTTAATTGAGTGCCCCCATCCCCCCACCCCCCCCCCCCCTCCCCCCCATCACAACAACCAAAACCCCCCCACAATGTTACCCCATTGGTAAACCCTCCCAGTGGGGGGGGGGGGGAAAACCCCCCCTACATTTTGTGTCACAAGGGGGACAACCCCCCCCCCATCCCCCCCCCCCCCCCACCCAAACCCAAAAAATGCCCCAACACCCCCACCAACCCCCCCCCCCCCCCCCCTTTACACCCCAACATGAATTCACCCCCCCCCCCACCCAAACCCACCCCCCATCCCCCCACTGGTGTCCACTAAGTGCCCCCCCACTTGGTGACCCCCCCCATCCAAAAATTCCCCCCACAGTGGGGAGGATATAGTGCCCCATCACCCCCATAACCCCCCCCACCAATACCCCCCCCTTCATCCCCTTATGGTACAACCCCACAACCCCCCCCCCCCCATTCAACCCCACACCCCCCAAAAAATCAGTTCCCCCAAACAATACACCCCCATCCCCCCCCCCCCCCAACACCCCCCCCCCCCAAAACAAATCCCCCCAACCCCCCCCCCCAACTTAAAAACCCCCCATAACCATCTTGGTTGTCACATGGGGGGAAATAACCCCATCCCCCCCATCCCACCAAATAGTGCCCCATCACCCCCACCAAATCCCCCCCCCCCCCCCACCCCCCCCCCCCCCCCCCCAACATCCCCTCCCCCACCCCAACAACCCCCATCCCCCCCCCCCCCCAAAACCCCCCCCCCCCAACATAGACCCCCCACCCCCCACCCCCCCCCCCCCCCCCAACAACACCCCCCCCCCCATCTTATGTAACTCCCACCAAAACCCCCCCCCCCCCCCCACCCCCCCCCCCACCAAAACCCCACCCCCCCCACACCCCCAAAAACACCCCACCCCCCCCACCCCCCCCCCCCACCCCAACACCCCCACCCCATCCCCAGCTCATTCACCCCAACGTCCCCCCCCCCAACCCCCACCTCCCCCCCCCCACCCCCCCACCCCCTACACCAAAACCCCCCCCCCCCCAAAGTCACCCCCCCCCCCATCCCCCCCCCCCACCCCCCCCACCCCCCCCCCCAAACCCCCCCCCCCCCCCCCCCCCCCCCAAATAGTGCCATTTTGGCACCTTTATAACCCCCCCAAACCACCCACCCCCCCCACCCCCACACACAACCCCCCCCTGACCCCCCCCCCCCACCCCCCCCCCCCCCCCCCCCCCCCCAATCCAAAAAAATTACCCATTATTCCCCCCCCCCCTAACAACCCACCCCCCACCCCCCCACAAAACACCCCCCACCCACCCCACACATCACCCTCACCCAACCTTCCCCAAATACCCCCCCAACCCCCCACCCAAACCCCAACCCCCACACACACCCCCCCCCCCCCCCCCCCCCCCCCCCACCCCCCCACCCCCCCCCCCCCCCACCCCCCCCACCCAATACCCATAAACCCCCATTTGAACTTTCCCCCCCCCCCCCCCCAATCCCCAACCCAATTCCCCCCCCCCCCATCATTAAAATACACCCCAACCCCCCCCCCATCCCCCCCCCCCCCTACCCCCAACCATTACACACCCATCCCCACCCACACACCCAATCTCAAAACACACCAACCAAAACCACCCCAAATACCCCCCCCCCTTCCCTATCACCACCCAAAAACCCTTCCCCCCCCCTCTTCTAACACCCAAAAAAAACCCCCCATATCAACCAAATAACCTTACATATACCCAAACAAAAAAAAAAACCATTTGCCCCACACCCCCCCCCCCATTAAACCCTACCCCCACATATTCACACCCCCCCCCAAACCATACAATCCTTCTCCACCAAATAAATACCCAAATATCACCATACCAACCCATTAAATCCCCCCCCCAAACCTTAACCCCCAACCAACATTTGCCCCATTACCATAATTTACCCACCCCCCCATTTAAAAAACTAACCCCACCACCTCCCCCAGGAATTACCCCACAAAAATACTCTATACCCCAACCCAAATCCCAAAAATCCCCCCCCAACCCCCCATCAAACAAAAAAACTCCCCATCCCAATACCCAAATTAAAAAACCCCCACATCAACCCAAAAACCTCTCCCCACTTTAAAAAAAATTATACAACATCCTTTATTTTTAAAAATCCCCATTTTCCAATCTCTTAATAACACATACCCACTTTTATCACCAAGTCCCCCAAACAAATGCAAACACCCCCTATGATAACCCCCCCTAAAAAAAAACACCACCACATCCACACCCAATAACCCCCCCCTCCCAAACAAAATTAAAACCCCCACAACCCCCCCCTTAAAAAAACACCCCCCCCTACAAAATATCCCCCCCCATCCCCCCCCACCCTACCACATTTCCCCCCCCAACCCCCCCCCACACCCCACCAACAATAAAAAATCAAAAACCCCCAAAATTATAACCCCTCAAACCCCCCCATTTTCCTCATATATAAGATACACACCAATTACTTCCCCCCACCCCCCACCCTATTTAACCCCCCCATCCCCAACCCCCCAACCCCCACCATCCCCCCCCACCCATCACCCACCCCCATATCCACTGGAGGGTTCCCACCAAATCAGTTTGCCTAAATTAAAACCAGGCAATCCCCCTCAAACCCCCCCCACACCACCTGACAAACCCCCCCCCCCCCCCCACCACCACCCCACCCACAAACCCCCCCCCCATCCCCAATCCAAACCACCCATCAAAAAACACCCCCACAAAACCCAAACCACACCCCAACATAAACCCCAATCATTTTTTCCCCTTACCCAATCACTTTGCAAAAATACACAATTAAACCTTCTTACCCAACCTGACCCATCTGAAGATTAATCTCCAACCAAATCACCACCAACCCCATATCCACCCCCCCCATACCAAAAATTTGCATCACTAACATACTAAACCCCACCTACTTCCCATATTCTACCCCCCCATTTTTCCTAATTATTAAATTTTCGTGGCCAGGTGACCATCCTGTGCTTTAAGAAGAAAATCCCACCCTTGACTTAATCCACCATTCATTTATACAATTTCCCTCCCAATTTTCTGCCCAATTTTTAATTTTACCAACCGAAACATACCCCAACTGTGTTGTGCCCAAATACCCACAACTGAACCTTTCACCTTGTCCAATTCCCCCCCCCTATTAATGGTTTTTGGTAAATCCTAAACCAAAAAATCTCCCAATAATTGTATAATTTCCCATGGCCACAGTCCATACAGTTTGCTGGCACCCAAACTAAAATTTTTAAATCACTAGGTCTAGTATAAACCACATGTACATGTTTTTGGCTGGGTACTTAATGTGTTTGCCATTAATGTTTGCATTGTTTGTTTCCATCTTTTGTACACCTAAACTTGAGTATTTCTGCCACAATTCAGAATTTTTTTTTACACCCTTTACACCCCACCCTAATCCCAGCTCTTCAAACCACAACCCATTCCTCAAATAGAAAACCCCCCCCCCCCATCCCCCTAACCCCTCACCCAATTTTGTTGCCCAAAATCCTTAATCCCCTTACACCTCATTTTCCCACCATTTATGTTCTAAACCCATGTATAACCCCCCTAGCCAAAGGAGTTGGATTCAATTTTATTTTTTAAAACCCATTTCCTCCACAATTGTTTCCCCATACACACCCACCCCACAAATTAGCCCCTCCCCCCTCCAAAATACTCATATATCATGCAAAAAAAAATCACCCACACCCCCCAACCAAAATTTCATTCAATTTGCCCCCCACCCACCCAACCCCAACCTTCCCCCCACCATCCAACCACAACCCACCACCCACCCAACCACCACATCACATCCAATGTGTTTTAGTGTGTGGTTTTTTTTGTGTTATGGTTTATTTTTGGATTTATCCAATTCGAAAATAAGTTTTTTTGATTTTTATTGCAGCAATTTGTACTTGCCATTGTAATTTTTTCGTTATGTCTCTGGTAAAAATGCAATTTCACTTTAATATTTCTGGGTGTGAAATATTCCTTCTCTCTGCCTCAAAAAAACCCCATCACATTCTCAAGATGTGATTTAGTTTGGCAAATAAATCTATTTAATTTATAAATTACTTTTTGGTAACAACACATTTCTCTTGAGTATTTATGGCTGAAATAGTGTCAGTTTTCCATAGTTACATAGTCACACAGTTTCAGATTTGGAAATGTTGAATAAAGACACAGTCCATCTAGTTTAACGTGTGTGTGTTTATGTTGTTGTTTTTGGTACCATTTCCCATATCCCTGTATATTGTGTTAACTAAGAGGTTTTTTTTAATTATCGACACTCCCTGCTCACACCACCAACTGTGGAAGGGAGTTCCACATTCTTACCGTACTGACTGTAAAGAACCACTTAGGCAGTTTAAAGTTAAACCTCTTCTCTGCCAACTTCATTGAGTGGCCATGTGTTCTCTGAAGTGACCTGAGACTGAATAGTTTTCTATCTATGCTAGAATTACCATTGAGATGTTTGTATATTGCTATCATACCTTCCCTTAAGTGTCTCTTTTTCCAGGAAATACAAGTTTAATGCTTGTAGTTCTTTCTCGTAAATGAGGTCCTCCAGTCTCCTTATTAGCTTTGTTGCCTTTCTTTGTTCTCTCTCCAGTGTCAGCACATCCTTCCTGAGGACTGGTGACCAGAACTGGATAGAATACTCAAGATGTGGCCAGAGCAAAGTTTTTTGGTAGAATTATAGTCTTATCTATTGAGTAAATATTCTTTTTAATGCATGCTCCTTTAGCTTTGCTTGCTGCAGCTTGGCATTGTATGCTATTGCTCTGCCTGTTAACTACTAGGACCCCTAGCTCCTTTTACATTCTGGATCTCTCCAAAGTTTCTCCCCCTAGAGACTAAATTAATATTTTTAGACCCCAACTGCATTACTTTACATTTTGCAACATTAAACCTCATTTGCCATGTAGTTGCACACTCCTTTATTTTTTTTTTTACATTTTCTTGTAAAGTTTCTATCCCCTGCTGGAACGTTATTACCCTGGTTAGCTATGTATCATTAGCAAACACTTAGATTGCACTATTTATACCAACTTCTATATCTTTTATGAATAGATGAAACAGAATTGGTCCTAGGACAGAGTCTTGGGGTACCCTGATCTCAAAGCTATACCATACATGCTATTTATCACCACCTTTTGAATGCACCCCTGTTTTCTATGCAGGTACTATCGTCCATGCCTACAGACCTCAATTTGTAAATTAAGAGTTTATGGAGAACTGTATCGAATGCTTTGGCAAAACCCAGATACACCATGTCCACAGGCCTTCCTCCATCTGGATGATAGCTCACTTCCTCATAGAATATTAACAGTTTGTTCTGGCAAGAACGATCTTTCATAAATGCATATGCCTATTCCCTGCCTCCAAAACTGTTTCCCTCTATGTCCTGTCTTTTAAAGGAAATTTTTAAATTCTGTATAAATTTGTATTCTATTTTGCATGCTCTGCCTATGTATTGCACACTGCACTAATTGTGCAGACGTCACTAATAATGGTTTAATTACATGTTTTCATTCCTTCAAGTCCTGATTAGAAATTAACCTGCCTACGTAATGCCCCTTGTTTTCTAGATGTATCACCCTCCTAGGTAGGTTGCTATGATGTATATAGTCTAGTTTAGTATAGTTTGGTCTCCTGCTTAACAGGAGACTGATAGGCAAAACATAGCAGCTTATCTGCTTAACAGAAAGCTACAATTGTTTAGTGAGGATATCCTGTGTGGCTCACAGTGCTGCTTCTATGATCGGCTCTTCTGTATCCAGGAGACCTTGGAAGGTTCTGGGTGAACAGGAGTGACCCATGCAGATCAGCAGCATGAATATGGATGCAGTTCCAGCCAATTACAGTGCTGGCCCTGAGCATGCTGGGCACTAGTATTTCTATTCAGTGAGCACATGTGATCTGGTTTCTTCTTCCTCTTCCTCTGAGAAGGGAGTTTCAGCCAGGGGAGGTGGCTGCCTCCTTGCTCATGCTACCAGAAGGCCCTGGGTGGGCGACCTGAGGGCCAGAATGCTGAAACCCAGGTTGCTTCTAGAAGCTGAGGGGGATTTCTATGGATCCTGTCTGGTATCACAGACGAAGGTGACCTGCAGCAAGGGCCTTGTGAGTACAGACTGTTGGGACTTGTGCTGTTTAACCTAGTCAGGACCTATATATATTTCTTATATAGCCTAGATTTGTTTTCAGTGGATAAAGTGAAGTGATTAAAACTCACTGAAAATTGTTTGTAAGTACTATTTGAAATCTGTACACAGAAGCAGTTAGCCAACTACATACAGTATTTATGATTTGTCTTATAGAAATTAGAGGTTGTACATAACTTACACAATAATGGAGCAATATGCAATCTTATACAATAATGAATATGCTAAGTCCACACTTTTATAGAAGCTGATTTTGTCCATACATTAGTTAATAGACATAATGTATCTCCTACTGTAAATTATAAACATACTGGAATTAATGTACCATGTGACAGATGGATACAGTACCTACTGACAAATAGACTCAATTCACTTAGCTAAAGCACATGAGTTATTTTCAGACGTGGTGGTACCAAAGGTAATAACTGTGGGGGATGAACTGATAGGAGGAATAGAAGGTTCCGTTATTAGCTGAAGGCAGGATAGGTTTCCCTGAAGAGATAGGTTTTCAGAGATCGCCTAAAAGTGGGCAGAGTAGGTGATAGTTGCATAGATTGGGGTAGAGATTTCCAGAAAAAGAAAAAGGCTCTGGAGAAGTCCTGGAGATGAGCATGGGAGAAGGAGACAAGGGAGCTAGAAAGCAGGAGGTCAAAGGAGAAGTGGAGAGGATGGTTTGGGTGGTATTTGGAGACAAGATTGGTGCTGTAATTTGAGTTATAAATGGCTTTATATGTTATTGTTAATGTTTTGAATTTTATTCGTTGGGCAATTGGAAGCCAGTGGAGGGATTGGCAGAGAGGGATGGCAGATATGGAAAGATTAGTAAGGCAGATGAGTCTGGCAGCAGCATTCATGAAAGACTGAAGAGGAGACAGCCTGCGATTAGGTATGCCAATGAGGAGGGAGTTACAATAGTCAAGGCGAGAGATAACAAGGGAGTGAATAAGTTGCTTAGTGGTTTCAGAAGTTAAGAACGGGCATATCTTGGAGATTTTGTGGAGTAGAAGTCTGCAAGATTTTGACAGTGATTGGATTTGGGGCTGAAAGGACAGATGGGAGTCTAGGATTACACGTAGTACTCTGGCATGAGGGGAGGGACTGATGGTTGTATTATTGATCTTGATGGAGTAGTCAGAGGAGAGGTCACGGGCTGGAGGGAATAGTATGAGCTCTGTTTTGGAAAGATATAGTTTGAGGAAGTGGAGTGACATCCATGCTGAAATGTCGCTTAGTAGGTTAGTAATGCGAGAGGAGACTGAAGGGGCAAGATGAGGAGTAGAAAGATAGATTTGTGTGTCATCAGCATAGAGATGATACTTAAAGCCATTGGAGTTTATCAAGTGACCAAAGGAGGAGGTGTAGATGGAGAAGAGAAGGGGTCCAAGGACAGAACCTTGAGGGACCCCTACAGAAAAAGGAAGTGGAGAGGAGGAGACAGAGTTGTAGGTAACGCTGAAGGAGCGCTGTGATAGGTAGGAGGAGAACCAGGAGAGAAAGCAGAGTCTTGGAGGCCAAGAGATTGGATTTTTTTGAGGAGGAGGGGATGGTCAACAGTTAAAAAGCCACAGAGAGAGCAAGTAGTAAGAGTATGGAGTAGTGGTATTGGTTTTAGTAGTTAGTAAATCATTATTGAGTTTTATTAGGGCAGTTTCAGTGGAGTGTAGTGACCAAAAGCCAGACTGTAAAGGGCTAAGAAGGTTGTTATCAGTGAGATAGGAGCTCAAG